CCTCCATCCACGTGAGGAGTAGAAGCAGAGGTTTTTGTTTTGTTTTCTAGAGGGGTGTGGGGTGACCATGGTGGTCTGTTGCAACAAAAATGACAAAGTGTCTTGTGGCGCTGTGTGACTGCCACATTTTATTTAGGAGACACTTCCTTAAGCTGCAGGCTCTGATGAAGGAAGTTTTAGTCCACAAAAGCTTGTGCCAAATAAAACTTGTTGATCCTTGAAGTACCGCAAGGCCCTTTCTTACTTAGAATCAGTTGTGTTTCTGTTCTACTCTAAATGCAGCCATTCTCAACAAGGGCTTTATGGCCTCCTGAGGTTGTGTTTCTGTTCTACTCTAAATGCAGCCATTCTCAACAAGGGCTGTATGGCCCCCTGAGGGGCAGCAGCACATTTGAAATGGGGCACAGAGTGGAAACGATTCTTCACACACCACCCTGGCACATTTGAAGGGGGGCACAAACTGAAAAAAAATCTATTTTGTTTCCGTATTTGTCATTTTGTGTTGGATCCTTGTTTGACAGTGGGCCCTAGAACCTGAGAAGAGCTCCTAAAAGGGTTGTGGCCAAAAGAAAAGATTGAGAACGGCTGTTCTAAAGAACTGACATGGCAAAGAGCCATAAAAATCAATACATCATTACTTCATGAAAGTCTGTGCAGTGCATGATGTAGTCTTGATCTGCCTCAAATGTAACAATTGTGGTTTTGAAATAATTTTTTTCAAGCCTTATTTAGGAAGATTTTTCTCAGAGGGAAATTGTTACAGTTGCCAGGATGTTTAGCTAGTTTTATATTATACGCATCTTAGGAATTCACTTTTCGGGGCATGTTGATCTGTTCCCAGCAAGAAAGCCATGAACATAATTCTAGTAAAAAAAGAGAGAAATAATTGGATAGTTGACAGAAAGTGTTCCAATTATCTAGGATTCCTTTCTCTCCACATTAAGTGAGACAAATTTCTTAGCAAGAAACTATTTCTACATAAAAAAGAGGTATGCAGATCACTTTTGGGCCATTAGGTGTTGATTGCCTTTGTATACATATTATAGTCATGAGCTGGTAGACAAAATTGGCCTCAGGAATGCCATTCCTGTGAGAAATTGTCCCATTGGAGGCAACACTCTTGAGTCATATTGGATTTTTCTTCATTAATCTTACAAATGAAGGGCCATTTCAAGATGGCTTATGAATATAGGCAGGATCCAGCATTAGACTGCTGCTGCTGCTGCAAAAGTGAAATCTAGCAGAAGCAGGAGAAAGTGGTCTTCTCCTCTCACAGCTATCTCCTGCTGTATTTCTGGGATGTCTTTGAGAGCTGGAATAGGATGGGAATGAGTGAGTTTTATCATCCTGGGATTGTGCCACCTGCACCATGTTGGATTTAGACCATAGCCTTCAGCTTTTGAAGATTTTGTGACAATGGCCAGTACCCAGGGTTTTTCTTAAATTTGTGTTCATATTGTTCCATAGTAGTTCCACCAGAATTGAGGGCGTCTCCTATCTTCTTCCCCCCCTAAATTCTAAAACTTTGCCCTGGCAGGCTAGAAAATCTTCTATAGCAGGTTTCTGCAGT